TCTTATTTTAAAAATGAAGAAAATGTGGCTCACCCAAGATCATATACAACCAGCCTATCTCTGACTGCAGCCTATTTCTACTAGACCATAGCACAGGAAGTTTAACACAGGGCCCTACTCAGTCCTTGTCCTTCTGTGGGTTTATTGCTGTTGTTGCTGGCCTCAGCTCTCTTCTGGAGATGAGATAACTTTAAAAACAAAAAAACTAGCCAGATAGTGTTGATGCCGATTCAAGCAGGAAAGCCCGAGGTTCTGCACGGGATATAATATGTTCTGAGGGAACAAAGCAAGACACCACTCAAGAGGCGAGAGCTTTCTCTCTTGTCAGATCATGAGAGCAGGTGTGACACCTTGGGGGAGACACTAACCCCAAGTATCATTTTCTCCCCCATAAAGATGGGGCCTACCTTAGAATACGTTCATGACCTCCTATTAGCTCTAGGAGCTGAGAGTCCCTCTTCCACCCTGGGCTCCACAGGCAGCTATCTTAGCAAGGAAGGAGTTATAAGAGAAGAATAGTCAGGCTGCTAACAGGCTCCAACCCAGAAGTCGGGGTACCCTACCTCCATCTCGTAGATGCGCTGTGCATTGAGGTTGTCCCGAATAATCACCCGAGACAGATGGCTCTTGGGTAAAAGCTTCTTCACATTGGCATCGCTGGAATTCAATATGCTAGAGAGGGCGGGGAGAGGGAACTGGTTAGAGACAGCTGGCCAAGGGGAGAGGGAACCAGTTAGAGACAGCTGGTCAAGGGGAGAGGGAACCGGTTAGAGACAGCTAGTCAAGGGGAGAGGGAACCGGTTAGAGACAGCTGGCCAAGGCCTGTTTGACAGCTGCTCTTTGAGTTTATTTTGTTTTGTTTTTGAGACAAGCTCTTGCTACGTAGCTCTGGCTGTTCTGGAAGTCGCTCTGTAGTCAAACTGGCCTGGAACTCACAGAGATCCACCTGTCTCTGCTTCCTACATGCTGGGACTAAAGGCGTGTACCACAGCACCTGGCTCCTCCGTGGCTTTCAAGATAAGTGGTTTTCTCACTTCCAGAGGAGCAAGTAAACCACTCTAAGTTTTGCCTGTAGATGAGGTCTGCTAAGAGGCTGCTTCCTGAACAGGGAGAAAGAGCATCCTGGGAGGACACAGAAAGGCCCAGAGCAGGCCTCAATAGAGGTCAGCAGAGAATCAGAAGAGTCCTCAAGAATTGCAGTTGTCGTTGTCGTTACTGACACTCTGTGCTGGTGCTTGGCCAGAACCCAGGGCTGCACACACTAATCAAGTGCTCACCCCCTGAGATTGCCCACTGTTCTGGAGTGGTTATCTTATGAGAAACTGCAGGGTAAGAGCAAAGGTGGAGGAGGTCTTAGATGGATGTAAGTTGGAAGGTAGAGGCAAAAGATGAATCTGAGAGAGGCTGAGATGGGGAGTTCTTCCTTCATAGCCTGGATCTGAGGGGATCTGGGAAATGGGCAGAGAACAGAACAGGATGAAGAAGGTGGGGAGGAAAGCTGGTTGTGCTGGTGCATGCCTGTGGTCTCAGCACTCGGGAAGCTGAAAGGAGGAAGATGGAGAGCTCAAGACCAGCCTGGGCTACACAGGCAACTCTCTTTAAAAGAGAAGAAAAGAAGGAGGGAGCGATAAGGAGGAGTATGGGTGGACACAGGGTTCATTAATAAAGGAAGTCTAATGAATGAGTTTGGGGAGGGAGGAGGTGTGGGGTGCTATAGGACTTCTGGAGACTCTATTCGGTATGTTCCACCTTTTGACACCACAAGACAACAATGTCACTGAAAGAGTTCACACTCAGAAATCACTAATTGAGTTACCAAAAAAAGATTCCCCCATCTACTCCTAATCTCCCAATGCTCTGATTTGCTACATTGTGTTGTGTTGGACATTGGCATTCACAGGAATCCTGAGCCCCTAGGCATCAATGGGTCGGAGACACCCACAGGGTGAGAAGTATGGAGCAATGTGAGAATGAGGAGCTGGGGACCAGGCTCAGTTGGTGGAATGTGTGTTTAGCAAGCACACAGTTCTGGGTGGTCTCTGGCACCAATAAAAACTCACCTATTTGGGAGACAGAAGAAGGAGATCAAGGGCATTCTTAGTTACATTGTGGTTTAAGTTAACCTTGGCTACATATCTTAACAATAAACAACATCAAAGGATGTTGCTAGCCAGTAGGTTTTCATTTTCTGATAATTTAGTTACACTACGAAGCTTTTAAAATGGTTTTTCCATTTTAAAAAATTGTTCAGACCAGGCGATTGTGGTGCATACCTTTAATCCCAGCATTGGGAAGGCAGAAGCAGATGGATCTTTGTGAGTTTGAGGACAGCCTGGTCTTCAGAGCAAGTTCCAGGACAGGCTCCAAAGCTACAGAGAAACCCTGTCTCAAAACAACAACAAAAAAATTGTTTATACATTCTAAGTCATCAGATAAAATACATGTACTCAAGTATAACTATTTTGGTGTGATAACTAGTTAAGAGGAAAAAAGGAGAATGCTAAACAGTGATGTTTTGTGCTGTTTGTTTTTAAAACTATAACACACATACACATATATGTATTATCTTAGCCTATTAGTTGCTGTGATAAAACACTAACCAAAATCAACCTGAGGGGAGAGTGTTTGTTCCAGCTTACAGGTTACAGTTGCTCATCAAGAGAAGCTGAGGCAGGACTCAGTGCAGGAGCTAAAGCAGGAAGGCCACCACCGCCTTGCTTTCCATTACTCTATACAACCCAGCCACCCGCCCAGGGGAGGCACCACCCACAGTGGCTGCATTATCCCACATCAATCACTAGGAACCCGCCCCACAGACAGGCCCACCAGTCAATCAGCTGCAGGAGATTCCCCAGCTGGGGTTCTTTTATCCCAGGTGACTCTAGCTTGTTTCAAGGTGACAGCAGCTAACCAGCACAGGACCTTACATGTACACATCAAAATGTTAACAGTGATCGCATCTGCTCATTCGTTTTGCTGGTTTGTCTTCAGTTTGTTGTTGATGATGTTCTAATCAGTATACATTACTTTTGTAATGATTGACAAACCATTTTAAAGGAAACCAGGGAAATGACCGATGTGCTGGAGAAGTGTTCCCTGAATACAGATTCCCTAACAAACAAGAACAAAAAAGGAAGAACTCCATGCACACTTTCACGAATTGACTGAACAGAAACAGCTGGCTGGATGGCTGATACACACAGGGACAGAAGGAGCAACAAACAAGAAAGCTCATGTTACCTTCATAAATTCTTTTCATTAGCACACCAGAACAACATCATCAGAAAGTATACTTCTTTTATCATTAGGACCAAAACAAACAAAAAGATATATATTTTTATTTATTTATTATGTATACAATATTCTCTGTGTATGCCTGAAGGCCAGAAGAGGGCGCCAGACCTCTTTACAGATGGTTGTGAGCCACCATGTGGTTGCTGGGAATTGAACTCAGGACCTTTGGAAGAGCAGGCAATGCTCTTAACCACTGAGCCATCTCTCCACCCCCAAAAGATATATTTTTTGAGACAAAGTCTCATATATCCCAAGCTGGCCTAGAACGCCCTCTTAAACTGAGGATGATCTTGAATTTCCATCCCGAGTGCTGGGATAACAAGCATGGGCAACCATGTCCAGTTTAAGAAGGGCAGGGGGACAATAACCTTTCAAGGGATTATAAAATGTTTTCCAATTTACTTTTTATCGGTAGGTAACAACTGTCTTCTGAGTGTGCTTACCTTTACAAATATTACAAAGAAATCAATATCCCGGGGCTGGAGAGATGGCTCAGAGGTTAAGAGCATAGGCTGACTGCTCTTCCAGGGGACCCAAGTTCAATTCCCAGCAACCACATGGTGGCTCACAACCATCTGTAATGAGATAGGGTGCCCTCTTCTGGCGTACAGGCATACATGCAGACCGAACACTATACATAATAAATAAATTAAAAAAAAATCCCAAGCTTCCTATTTCCATTTTTCTGGCTTCTATGAAAGTCAATCCAACATACCCAGGTGCTGACGGGAAAACAGGTTTAAAGGTCAGGAATTCGCACACAAGACTAAAAACCCTGTTTTCGAGGGAAAGAGCCTCAATACTTAGATCCTCTCTACTCAGTGACACATCAAATTTATCAACAGTAGACATGAAAAAGGAGAAAGGTTGGAAGTACTCTTTCAAGCAATAAATAATGGTCATTTTGAGCCAAATTGTTTTTCCATAATAAATCCTCTGTAGGAACTTAGGTGAGGGAAGGGTTGAGAAAGCGGGGCAGAATTAAGGCTTGTGGGGATTGGGGCCAAACAACGGGAAACTAAAGGCTTTTCCAGAATCACTGGAGAATGGGAAGGCTTGAAAGCGGGTGGTCAAGTAATTGTGGGCCTGAGACCTGAGCTTCACCGGGTGTCACCTCAAAGTGCGCTCGGACCGCACGATGTCAAGCCTACAGTAAGCTAGGGCCAGGATTCATTCGGAGGGCTGAAAATGGAACTACGACTTCACGCCCGAGTCCAGGTTTATGAGGGTCCTACAGATTAATCCGGGTCTGAAGTCTGAGGAACTCGGATGGGCGGGGGGGGGGGGGGGGGGACACGACTGGGGCGGTGTGGATCTGAAAGCTCGGATTCCCTCAGAGGTCCCGGGTCTGACGACCGCTCGGCACACCAGAACCACACCTGAATAACAACTTCGGAATTGCCGGCCGCGGCCGCAGGAAGTAGATCTGTGGTTGGACGCGGGGGCCGAGATCCGGCTGGCTGTCAAGTCTCTCGCGCCGGAAGTCCGTGCCAGAGGCAGTGGTCTCCTTGGCAACAGAGTCGAAATTCGAGCCCAGATCCCATTTGACTGAAGGCCTTTTGGGCTGTGTGGAGGAACCTAACAGGCCGGCGAAAGACTCGGGAAGGTTAGCTACGCCAAAAACCATGCTGAAAGGGCGCGCGGACGCCGAGCGACTATCTATGCTGAAGTCTAAGGCGGAGCTCTGCGCGTTGCCCTGGAGACAAGCAAGGGGCGGAGCCTGCAGGCTGCAGCCCTCCAAATCTTTGTGACTCTCGGTAGGGTGTTGCCTAGGAGACGCGTGAGGGGGCGGGGCCTGAAGGCGGCCGCCCTGAGGTCGGTCCTTCCGGCTGTCTGAGACGCGCTGCCAGGCGCGTTTCCGTGGAGACGGGCCGGTATGCTGTGCTGCAGCCTTCCCGGCTTCTCCGAGAGGTCTGATGATTGCGCGAGTGCTACGACGCTACGTCCGGGTGCAGAGCAGGCCGCGGCTTCCCTCTAGGCCCAGAACTGCCCTTTGTTGCGCGAGGAGAAGCCGTTGCTACCGAGATCCAGGATCATGACGGACCCTCTCGGAGACCATCGCCCGCGGCTCTGCCCTGCGGTCGCTTCCTGAAAGACTCCCGCGGCCCTGCGGCTGAGAGGTAAGATGATCGGAGCCCTGTCTCCACGTAGAGAGCCATTCTAAGCCAATTCCCTAGGAAGCGTCCTAGACTTGAAGTGGCACCTCCTGCCCATCAACTTGTGGACTCTGGTCCAGTTTATAACCCAGAATTTAACCAAAGCCCCACCTATATTTGCCAGCTTTCTCCCGAAAGAACTTGCTATCTGACGATGAACAAAACTATTTTTCCTCGAGTCTCACTTTCCACGAGTGACAAATTAACTAGATGTCAAAGGCCTCATTGGCCATAAAGTGCGAAAGCAGCCGCGACCAAGTTTCTCTCTCCTTCCTCCTCAATCCAAACTGTTCATTTTTGTGGGGAATGATACTGGGCCTGTTCTTTTGTTGTGGGTTGTTTTGTTTTTAAAGAATTTCAGGCCGGGCGGTGGTGGCGCACGCCTTTAATCCCAGCACTCGGGAGGCAGAGGCAGGCGGATCTCTGTGAGTTCGAGGCCAGCCTGGTCTACAAGAGCTAGTGCCAGGACAGGAACCAAAAAGCTACGGAGGAACCAAAAAGCTACGGAGAAACCCTGTCTCGGAAAACCAAAAAAAAAAAAAAAAAAAAAAAAAAAGAATTTCAGTAGTCCAGGCTGGTCTAGAACTCCCCCGTCTTTTGCCTCAGTTTCCCCATCTGCTCTCTGCCCCCGTCTGTGATGGCTTCAGACCATCTTTACAACTCTATAGCCCCTGGCCTTTACGTGTCATTCCCACAAGGATCTGCATTTTAACCTCTCTACACGCCCTTGGATTGTCTCGTTTCATCACCTCTTTATAAGGTAGACATCTTGCCCCGTTGATCAACATTTTAAAAATCTTATTTGGCTCTATTTTCTAAAGTTGTACAACACTTTATTCTGTACAACAGAATGTTCCAGTGAGCCAAGCAAAGGAGGTTTGTGAGTTTGTGGATAGAAAAGGACTTGAGGACAGAAACAAAAACACTGGTCACTTCAAAGTTACACTCCTTGGAAGGCCGGAACAGGGAGACAGACCTGTAGGAACATGACTGACTGGCCTGATGTTACTTTGAATGACCCTTTGTTGTGGGAGGATTTAGATAGACGTCCCTTATGCTAGCGGAAACTGGCCTGCTTGGGAAATTTGCTTGTTCTCTCTGTAATCCCATTTTCCCAAAGGTTAATTTTAAGTAAACAGCTCTGTTTCTTTGCCAAAGGAAAAAAAACTAAAGAAACCCTGTAGCTTGTTTCCCTGGCTCTTTATTCAGTGTAGGGGGCAGGAAACAGCGCCCTTGTGTCCAGAGCCCCCCACCTTCCTCTTCTGCCTCCTGAGCGCTGTGTTCCAGGTGAGCACCGCCGGGCTTCACTTTCACTTGGTCTCAGTTGACTTAGGGTCATTAATGTTGGAAGGTGCAAAGTCGGGCGGTGGTGGTGCACGCCTTTAATCCCAGCACTCAGGAGGCAGAGCAGGCGGATCTCTGTGAGTTCAAGGCCAGCCTGGTCTACAAGAGCTAGTTCCAGGACAGGCTCCAAAAGCTACAGAGAAACCTTGTTTCGAAAAAACAAACAAAAATGTTGAAAGCACAGCTGAGCAAAATACATGACGAGTTTCTCATTAGCTTTGTGTCCAGTTGTGTGGGTACTCTCTAGGGACCAAGACCCTGCTGAGTACCACCTGTTCTCCGGAAGCTCTTTAGGACCTGACCTGAACCCATCCCAGTAAACCCAAGTTGCTCCTTCCTTTGTCCCATGGTCTCTCGGACCATGGCTGACCCCCTTCCACTCACTAGCTGAAGTCCCTTTAAAGTCTATCCCGTGCTCCTCTCGTGGTTGACTGTTCTTGTTTCCATTGTTTTCTGTGTGAAAAGACCCCCCCCCCCAACAATCCAGTAACTTTAGTGTAACTAACGTGTTCCCTGACCGCTGCTCAGAGAAGGCCTTGGCTAGCCTTGGAGACCCAGCCGTCCACTTCTCAGAACTCTTCTCAGTTCTTACCCTTCTCCACCCTCCTTTCCACAGTGTTCAGTGGACACAGCTTGGCAGAAAGATGGACATGTAACCCAGCACCGGCTGTTGGCCTGTCTGTCACCTTGATGACTTCTCCTTTGGGTGCCTTCGCAGTCCAGTTCCCTCAGCCTTCAATCAGTGGCCTCTCACAGATCACCAAGAGCCTGTTCATCAGCAATGGTGTGGCTGCCAACAACAAGCTCCTGCTGTCCAGCAATCAGATCACCACGGTCATCAACGTCTCAGTAGAGGTAGCCAACACCTTCTACGAGGATATCCAGTACGTGCAGGTGCCTGTGATCGATGCGCCCATTGCGCGTCTCTGCGATTTCTTCGACCCCATCGCTGACCATATCCATTCCGTGGAGATGAAGCAGGGCCGCACCCTGCTGCACTGTGCTGCTGGTGTGAGCCGCTCCGCTGCCCTGTGCCTCGCCTACCTCATGAAATACCACGCCATGACCCTTCTAGATGCCCACACGTGGACCAAATCATGCCGGCCCATCATTCGACCCAACAGTGGCTTTTGGGAGCAGCTCATCCGTTATGAGTTCCAGCTGTTCGGCAAGAATACAATGCACATGATTAACTCCCCGATGGGACTGATCCCAGACATCTACGAGAAGGAGATCCGTTTTATGATTCCACTGTAAGCCAACCCAACCAGCTCCTATATCAGGGTCAGCAGTACAGATCTGTCATTAATAGTATACCAAGGTCTAAACTTGAACACTCTACTTGTGTTGCTGCAGGAGCACACCAGATGGTGCTTTTCATAAGGGCAAGAATAGAGCATTGCCATAACTTTTCACCTCCTAATCCACAGGTTTGGGGGGTACATGCCTTAGATGGCTGAAGCAGAAATATTGCAAGGTGAGTTTGAGGCCAGCCAGGGCAACATAGTGAGACCCTGTCTCAAAAAACAAACAAACAACTCAACAATTACTGCCCTGTAGTATGTGTCTTTAGATATTAAATTCTTTGGTTAGAGCATGGTGAGGGTAACTCTTCTGTGAGTGGTAGGTCACAGCTACTGTCTGGAGGATGGGGGAGGCAAGTGGTGGCCATGCCAAAGAGACCAGTGCACAGTGCATATGGCAGCCTTGGGATCCTGCAGCTCTCCCCTAGATGACCAACCTAGAGATGACTCTGCCAAAATCCCACCTCGTTCATTCCTTAAGCATCCTGGTGCTCTCCAGAGTCTCACAGTAAGTGCCAACCTAATAGACATGGGGCCTCCCCTCCACCTTCACCACAGTGGCCCAACTCTGGTCTTCCAGGCCAGACTTGCACAGGGCGTGGATCACAGCGCTGCTCCGATCAGCAGCACTCATCCGGAAGGCCGTCCTGTCTACACACAGCCCTTTGTTTATGTGTCTCAGAAGCCTCTGTGAGAGAGAAGAAATAGCTTAATCTTTGCTAAGCCTCATCTGAGAAGTTTGCCAGAGCTCCCACTGTGCAGCCTACGATGCACGCCCAGCTTTCTCCAAAAGGCCTTATGCAGAATTGCAGACCGTGAGATCCAGTGTCCCAGGCTGCCTGACTGTTCAGGAGTTATGGGGACAGAGGTCAGGACAAGGGAGTTGACTCCAGGAGGCCCTGAAATTCAGGGTTGCTCAGAATTCCTTAGTGTCAGGACCCAACTCAAGAAGGTTGTGTTTGGTTTAAGAGGTGATCCCAGCGGGGCAGTGGTGGTGCAAGCCTTTAATCCTAGCACTCAGGAAAGCAAGTGGATCTCTGTGAGTTTGAGGCCAGCCTGGTTTACAAGAACTAGTTCCAGGACAGCTAGGACTGTTACACAGAGAAACCCTGTCTCAAAAAAAAAAAAAATCTAAATAATAATAATTAAAAAAAAAAAAAGGAGTTCCATGTAGCCCAGGCCATGTAGCCTTGAGCTCCTTATCTCTTGCTTGTACTTAAGGAATGCTGGGGCCATTGGTGTGTGCCACCATGCCCTGCAAAGACCAGTGCTCCACTTAACTTTTGTGGTATAACACCAAAAGCAGCTTCGGGGAGGAAAGGGTTTCTTTGACTTACAGGTCCACACAGTCCATCATGAAGAGACGTCAGGACAGGAACTCAAGGCAGGAACTGAAGCAGAAGCAAGGAGGAATGCTGTTTATTGGCTTGCTCCTTCCCCATGGCTTGCTCAGCCCAGTTTGTTATACAGTGCAGGACCACCTGCCCGGGCTGGCACAGCCGAGAGCAGGCTACACCCTCTCCCGAATTATTCTTGCATTATTAGTCCAGAAGCCCCACAGACATGCTCACCTAGTGGAGGGACCCTTTCCTAGGTGACTCTAGTTTATGTCACGTTGGCAAACACTGACCAGTTGGTCTGATCTAGAGCTTTCAGATCATTTATGAGCAGACAACAGCACGGCTGCCCTGTTGGGTGGCTTGATGCGGTGCTGTGCATCTCGAGTGCTGTAGAAACTGCAGGCCTTCCCCCTGTATGAGTCTCGGGAGGCGCAGAACCGGCAGGGTGAAAAGAAAAGAATTTAACTTAGCATATGGGACGCTCAGCAGTGGAAGTAGTTCCACAGCGTCTGTCTCTTATGGGAGAGGCCACAGTCCATGAGTCTGGGACATCAGCAGTCCCAGCCTGGCCCCAAAACCTGGGGTGCTCCCAGAGAGCCTGGAAATGCTGGTTCTGATGTCAGCGGCATGTGGGAAGGCCGAGAGCAGGGTGAATGATCTTCCTGCCACCATGCCCTTTTTATCTGAGCTGCTTCTAGAAGTGCTGCCCACTCTTGGGTGGGTCTTTCCACATCCATTATAGGCAACCAAGCAATGCTCCAGGTGTGGCTCCCTATAGGTGATTTTGATTTATGGCGAACTGACATTTAAACCAACCACCATACTCCCCAACCTACCTGTGCCCTGTTTTCAGAAAGGGACTGCCCAGGAGTTTGGTATGAGGTGGTCGAAGTGGGAGGAGGCAAGCCACTGCTCTAGGACTAATCTCACCCTTCAGCAGAAGCAAACCCCCCACCAAACACACACACAGCAGGCAGGTGTGGCCAAGCCCCCGCCCTGCAACTCTCCTGGCAGAAACACAGATAGAAATTTTCTTTTAAAAGAACTTTATTTAAATCTTTTAGTCATAGGGGGCTGGAGAGATGGCTCAGTGGTTAAGAGCATTGCCTGCTCTTCCAGAGGTCCTGAGTTCAATTCCCAGCAACCACATGGTGGCTCACAACACTCTGTAATGAGGTCTGGTGCCCTCTTCTGGCCAGCAGACATACACAGAGACAGAATATTGTATGCATAATAAATAAATAAATAAATAGATAGATAGATAAATAAATAAATATTTTTAAAAAATCTTTTAGTCATAAAAAAAAAACAACAATCTAGGGGTGGAAAGATGGCTCAGTGGTTCTGAGCATTTACTGCTCTTGCAGAAGACTTGGGTTGGATTCCTAGCACCCACCTCGTGGCTCACAACTCTCTGTGGATTCAGTTCCAAGGAATTCGATGCCTTTTTCTGGCCTCCTAGGGCACTAGGCATGCATGTATTGCACATACATACATGTAGGGAAAACACTCATGCACAGAAAATAAATCTTTTTTAAGTTCAAATTAGCCGGGCGGTGGTGGCGCACGCCTTTAATCCCAGCACTCGGGAGGCAGAGGCAGGCGGATCTCTGTGAGTTCGAGACCAGCCTGGTCTACAAGAGCTAGTTCCAGGACAGGCTCCAAAACCACAGAGAAACCCTGTCTCGAAAAACCAAAAAAAAAAAAAAAAAAAAAAAAAAAAAAAAAAAAAAGTTCAAATTAGCATGTCAATTTAACTTTTGAATTCACAATTTTCTGGGTCACCTCATTCCCAAATGGGACTCAACCCACGGCCTTGTGTGTGTTAGGCAAATGTCCTACCACCAAGCTAATCCCCAGCCCAGTTCTTTGAGGCTTGTTTGTTTTGAGTCAGAGTCTGGAACTCTTGTCTGGCCTGTAACTCAATATGTAGTCGAGGCTAGCCTCAAATTCACAGAGATCAGGCTGCCTCTCAGCGTCTGCCTCCTGAGTGTGCTTACCACCACCACCACCCCCTGCTGGATTTTAACAGGTGCATAGAATGACGTCATCACCACAAATCAGGAGCCTGTCACGGGTCCCTTTTGTGGCCAGACCCCAACCCAAACCTTCCCCACACGCTGACAAGCACACGTGTGTTCCTACAGGTTTGCCTCTCCGGGCAGCCTGGCGCTCGCCCCTCACGCAGCCCCTTGTCTTTGTTCTATGGCATTTTTACGGCTATGTCACTCTTTACCCACTGAAGTGTATTTACTTGTCGGGTGTAAGGGTTATAGGTGAAACTGCCATACACATTGCACACAGGTTGTTCATTTCTCTAGGGTGTGTACTACAGAATTCTGGTCACATGATGATGGCCTCACCAGAACTGTATTAAAACTAATCATATTTACTTCTTATTACCCTCATCCCTTCCCACTTTTTCTGAACCCCTTTCTCTTCCCAGTAAGTTCCCTTAAATGTTGATAACTTTTCTGTGACTATATAAGGAAGTATCCATATTTTAAAATATTAAAAATTAAATTTTCTTGGTTTTCCAAGGTATGATTTTTCCATGTAGTCCTGGCTGTCCTTGAACTCACAGAGACCTGCAGCTTTGCCTCCCAAGTGCTGGGATTAAAGGTATGTGCCACCACTGTTCAGCTGTAAGTGAGGAGTTTTGTTATGGTGTATTGATAGATGTCATTACACTACTCCCTCCCTCTCCTTGTCCATATTTTTTATTTTTAAATAATATATTTTTGGAAAATATACACGTATAGGTATATTTTGATTGTCTCCATCCCCCAGGGCCTTCTCCAAGTCATCCTAGTGCCCTTCTTCTGCCTCCCTCCCAATATCATGTCCTCCTTTTGTTGCTGTTGTTGTTATTAATAACCCTGAAACCAGGTGGTGCTGCCCATATGCTCGTGGGTGTGGGATCATACCTAGGGTGTGGGCAACTTAGCCGTGGCCATGCTGCCAATGGAGAGAGGCCCTGTCTCCCTCGGCAGGCAGCCATCAACTGCCGGTAGCTCCTCCACAAGGTGAGGCTTGACTTGTGCCGGTAACAATGGGTGCTAGGAGTGGACATTACAGCGGCCACACGATATCCAGTAGCCGGCCTGTCTCCTCATCCTCTAGCTCCTACATTCATGAGAGGGAACAGGAGACTGGTTGGTGCTTCCTGCAGAAGAGAATATTCTAGCACAGTAACATTTGTTGTAAAGGGTGACAGCTAGGAGTTGCCCTTTAATTTATAGACACATTTTGTGTTAAAATAAGTGAACCTTGCTTAAGTCCTAAACCTATATGACCTTTAAGTGTGACCTTACTCCTTTCCTAGATATTTTTGAGATTCCCAAAAACAAGACTAACCCCCCCTTTTTTTTACAGTAGAAATGTCTTAACTTCCCCAGCAACCCTGTGATCTAGAGTTTTACCTTAGTGGTGCCCCTGTCCAGTGCATAGAAACTAGCCATGAGCACCTTAGGCTCAAGTCTAAAGCCACCAGAAACATACAGACGGCTGCTGTGAAGACACTGAGCTGGGGCTGAGACACCCAGACACACGCTTTCGGAGATGCTGGCTTTCCTCCCCTGCGCCTCTTTTTCTAAATCTTTGTGCTTAAAATGTTTGTTTTTTTTAAATAAACTAACTCTGCTTCAGACTGGCTCTTCCTGAAATTCTTTTCTACTTGGAAGCCTAGAATCCAGCTCTACTTGAATGGAGATCCCTAAAACTAAGGGGACTCAAAAGGCTGCCACTGGGAGACACTGCCGCCCCTGACCCTTGAAAAAAGCAACAGTGGAGATTATATTCAGGGAGCCTAGACATATTCCTACAGGTGCTGGCCCATTCCTGGACATGCTCAGTTGGACTTCACAACTGAAGAGGAAAGAGTAGACACACTGGGACATGCTGAGCTGAGCTTGGGTCAGGGGCGTATGTGTACAGAAGATGGAAGGCCGGAATGCTCAGCATGCTCAGCCTGCCCAAGGAATCAGCTTTTCAGAAAGAGAACTTTGGGAGTGTGTTATACAGGATTCGGCCTGGAAAGGTACCTGCCTCAACTAGTGGTTGATTAGCAGAGGCAAAGAAGGTTTTGAGGGGTTCATGGAATGATGGCTGGGATGAGCAGTGTCCTTGTCCTCAGGCTCAGCTGCTGGGCTTTTCTCTGGACACAGCCTGGGTAGAGGAACCTCTGGGTGGTCCTGTTTAATCCCCGCCTCCTAGGTTGGTTGGTAAAACCTGTGTGGCTAGGAAAGAGACCTGCAGGTGTCTCCCTTAGACTTTCTCTTGGTGTTTTGAGACAGGATCTCAGTATGTAGCCCAGGCTGACCTGGAATTTACTTACTGGGTAGCCTAGGTTAGCCTCAGAAGCCTCCCAAGTGCTGTGATTGTAGGTATAAGACACCATGTTTCTAGGAAAGGGCCACACTTGATTGTATAAAGTAGAGGAAGTGGGGTTTTTTTTGGTTGTTGTTTTTTTTTTTTTTTTTTTTTTTTTTTTTTTTTGGTTTTTCGAGACAGGGTTTCTCTGTGGCTTTGGAGCCTGTCCTGGAACTAGCTCTGTAGACCAGGCTGGTCTCGAACTCACAGAGATCCGCCTGCCTCTGCCTCCTGAGTGCTAGGATTAAAGGCGTGCGCCACCATCGCCTGGCTAGAGGAAGTGTTTAACTGAGCAGAAGAATGTGGAGTTATAGAAAATGGCAGACAAAAACAGAAAGGTGTACTTGAAGACAAGACCTTGAAATAGGTAATTAAAACCAAAAGAAGCTGCTCATTTCAAAATTTGTGTGTTGGGGACTGGAGGAGTAGGGGTGTGTGTGTGTGTGTGTGTGTGTGTAAGGGAGGGGGCATGAGGCCAGCTCTCCACACAGCCCAGGACTAGCAATCCTCTCTACCCTCCAGAGTGCTGCCTGCCAGGCAGAGGGACAGACACTTCAGGTTACTTCAGGTTACCTTTTGGTAAAGATTAAAGGATTAAAAAACGCCCAGGCGACCTCATTGTCATGCCAGTTCCAGCTGCCTATTTGGGAACCCGGGCTATCCTTTCTTCTTCCCTTCATTTCTACTAAGTAGTAATTTAGTCTCAGTTTGCTGGGTGGAACTTGCGCAGGTTTTAGTTTTTAATCTGGCACATTAAGACCTAGTGCAAAAGCTAATTCAAAATAGTGAACTTCCAGAGTTTGTTTTTTGTTTTGTTTTTTCTCAAGACAGAGTTTCTCTGTGTAGCCCTGGATGTCCTGGAACTCGCTCTGTGGACGGGGCTGGCCTCGAAATCAGAGATCACCTGCCTCTGCCTCCCAAGTGCTGGGATTAAAGGTGTGTGCCACCACACAAACTTCCAACAATTTTTAAACAACGTACTACTCTACTCTTTCCCCATTGTCATATGGCCCTGGGCCTTCTGGCTCAGCTCCTCCAGTGAACTGGCAAGATGGCTCATCAGGAAAGGAGGCTCGCGGTACCTCCTGGGAAAGGACACACACAAGAAGAGTCCTTGCTTCCTTTTGTTCCTACTGTTGATGTGATTTCCCAGCCTGGTCTCAAAATCACTATATAGCTAAAGATGACTGAATTTCTGAACCTCCTGCCTCCACCTCCTGAGTGCTTGGAATACAGACATGAGCCACCACAGTACTGGCGGGATAAACCTAGTACTTTGTATGTGTATTCTACCAATGGAGCCATAGCCTCAATCCCCAGCCCTCTTGTAGAACTAGAAGGAAAATCTTGCCTAACAGGCACACGACCCTTGGGTTCCGTCCCTAGCACTGAAAAAAGGAGTCCTTGTTTGCCCTGACTTTCTCGAATGACAACCCAAGGGTACCAGGGCAGGATGGGAGGGGAAGCCTGGTAGCTAAAGCTGAAACAAGGCTTTGCCTGAAGTCCACAATGGCAGGATGCCCAGCACAGCTCCAACTTCCTGGCTTCCCCCAAGACCTGGCAGGAAGCCTGGGGGCCTGGGCTACACCCTGTTCTGTCCAGTAGGAGCAGGCCTGCCCTGAGGTTGTCAGTGTGCAGGTGGCCGCAGAGGAAGTGGAGAGACCAACTCCCTAGCATCTGTGACAGTGACTCAGGACACTTGGGCTAAGCACTTCCCAGGCAGCTCCCCAGAGCCGCAGGGTTAGGTTTCACTGCCCCATTTATAGCA